AGACAATACACCTAACTTTAACGAAGCTAAGCTTTTAAAAACAAAAGTGATCAACAAATCTCTTGAGAAAATATATAATATACATATATAAGCAAGTGTCAGGAATTCTTGTTTAGAACATAATATTTAAACTTTAAAGAATTCTATTCAAAAATGTTCGTTCCTGAAGATAGCTACACAGATAGTCCAAAGCGTTAGATAAATATTAAAAAATTGCTACTGGAATAGGTTTAAATATTTTACAATAATCCAGTTTAAGATCAATAAATGAAATAATTTATTACTGATTATATCTGTTGTCTGACTAAACAAAAGACGAGAAATCTAGATGTTAGCATATTGTTTATGATCATGTCAGATGATGCAAAAAGAAAATGGCACCAACAGACTAGTTCTTGTCTACTAGCAAATAAAATGTAACGATGTTTACATAATTAACAAAATGTTTACATATTCACATAATCTGTCGACCATCCTATGAGCAAGAAAGAAAATTGCCTGGGGCTCCCACCAACAGGAGGGCCCTAACCAATCTTTTATAAGAAAATATTTCCCCTAAGAAAAATCTCTGAAGTCAACACTGCACATGGAAATTCATATTTGCCTGGGTACCATGAAGCTATGACGCGCTACTGCTGTCGACCCTCGAAACGACATCTCCTAATTGCTTATTGTTGCAAAAAATAAAAGGCTTAACTCGTGACAATCGAGATGACAACGATTAATGGCGCGCGACCCTGACATCTGCTTCTTATTATTTTTGTAATATACAATTATGTAATAGATTAAGTAGATTCATAAATCGTTAAAGACATTAATGAAATTAAACTTTCAAGGAAAATCGCTTTAATTTTTCCTTGTTTGTGATCATAACTTACAAGTACTTTCAAATGAAGAATTTGTCAACTGTCTTTTTTCCTATTAAGGAATTTTCAGTGATTAGATCCAAGAACATCAAATAAAGCTCTAAAAATCCTTTGTCAACAACTAAAAAGTAATAAATAAATAAATACATAATGGATTTATTTAAATAAGATATAACGTAAACAGTGGCGCGTTAACCTATGGACAAAAAGAACAATTTGCCTGTGAACAGAAAAATAACTATTTTCACTTAAATCTATAGATAAATGGAAACAAAGAAAGGAAGTTAGCGGCTATTGTCTACGTGCTTTATGTATAAAGGATAAATTATTTTTCGTGCACAAATGTACAAGTCTTATAAGTACAGTATTTGTATGGTCATTACAGTGTTAATATGTAAATAATCCTGAAAAAAGATATAATTATGCAAGTCATAAAATAGAAATTCTACTTAGTTGTATTGTTGATGATATAGAAAACATGTCCTTTATACATAAGTAAATAGTTTTTATCTTAGTTACTAAATCTCCTGTAACCTGTTCTATAATTAAGTAGTTATGTAGTACAAAATGAATAAAAAGTTATAAACGATATGACAATATGACATCTTGTCACTTGTAATCCAGTTTCTTCGACTGTTCTTATCTGCAAAAGTTTCGTAAATTTCCTATACACGATTATCCCAATTAATATGAATTGGATGCTTTATTAAATTACAAAATATTGGTAGTTTTTACGGATATTTTAACATTCAGGATATAAAAAATAATAGAACAAACGTTACTGTTCTTGTCACGTGTGTGAAGTAGTGTTTGCATTGTAAGCAAAACGTTTAATATTTGTATCGTGTCACATATTCGATACTTCCTTCATATTAAAATGAAAATATTTCAAATATACTATAACAGTAGAATTAATAAACATTTTATTAATAATTATATTCAAAGTTAAAGGTCTCTTCAGTAGATGTTTATATCATTTTCAACACTGAATAACAGGAAAATATACTCTCAAACCATACTCGAATTACTCGTTTTGTATGCTCTTTAATTACTACAAATAACTTTGGATGACGCAGGTTGCACTTGGCTTCAGTCCCAAAATATATTGTACATTTGCGATATGAAGGAAATAAGCTTACTCTAAAGACATTTATTTTACAACCAAGGACAATAGAGTTATTTTATTACGCTTTTAATTTTTGATTATTATCAATCTAGGAACGAAAGTTACTTCATAAAAATTGATTTATAAATACTAAAAATTTACAAATATTGTAAAATGAGGCTTCCGTTTTCACTTCTAAAATTTCAAGAAATTATTTTAAAATAAAAAACCAAGTTTACAGTTACGAAATAGTTCCACAATTGACAATGTGACAACTCGCAGCCGGTCTTTTCTTGTAGGTTACCACAAGGAAAGATCTACACTATTGCGAGTTATCAATTGTAGAATTATTTCGTTATTATGAACTTGTTTTTTTTATAATTTCTTGAAATTTTAGGTTTAAAACGATTATTTTTGTAGCTAAATCAGTGGCTCGTTATATCTCCATGAAGCCCTGTTGAATTTGAATTAGGAAGCTCCATGTATACAATAGTGTTGACTTCAGAAATTTTTCTTCTAGTGAATTTTTTGAAGAAATATTTTATCTTAAAAGATTGGTTTAGTGCTCCTGTTGCTGGGACACCAGGCAATTGCCCTTTTTGCCCATAAGATAACTCACCATTGAGTTAAATACATGAATATATCGAACCTCTGCTTTAAGTGACACAGCTAAAAAAATATATGTTTCTAGAAAAATGCAAGAAAAAATTTTTCTTAAACATAATAACAAACGTTATATTTTATTCTGTTATTGATTACAAAGAAATTTTACAACACAAAGAAATATGATAGAAATTCTGATATTGAAAAATTCCGAAATGTTAAAAAAAGGCAAACAAAATAATTTTATTATTTTTTAAAATTATTCTTTGTTCACTATTTAAAAAAACGAGGAAAAATTTTAATTAAATGAATTTTTCCTCAATTTTTTAATATCTCTCTTTTAAAAAAATCCGTTAACGTGTCAACACTTTATACAACAAATTTTAAAATATAATTACTTTCCATTGTTGTTTAACGTATAATAGTAACATTTCCTCATTTTGTATTTAAATCTTTATTAAATTTATTGTTTTAAAACATTAATCAAAAAGTTTATTCGTTTGACAAATTACTAAAAAAGTTAAAAAACTTAAAAAAAGAGAGAGAAATGATAAAAATAACTTACGTTATTGTTAAGAAAAAAGTTATTTCCGTATAAAATCGTTGACGTAAAATGGACACATTACTTGGAAGCAATTCAAGAATGATAGCGAAGAAAATTTCATAATGTACTTTCCCAAATTAAAGATGTTAAAAATCTCCATAAATTAAATACTTTATCATTGTAACAATTTATAACGCATGTACTAAATTTAATTATATAATTAGCATAATTTTTCTCCAATAACGTATACTGTAGAAAGTATATTTTTTAAACGGAATATATACAAAATAACCTCCCACAACGGCCATTATCTTATGTTCCCGTGTTCATGGATTTGACTACATAATTACCAGTCGACCCCCCTATAACACTGTTGATAATTCAGTGTTATATGAATTCCATGTTGTACGAGTCACTTAGATTTTACAAATACGTGAGCCGTTCACAGCCCGGCACACGTATTTGTAAAATCTAAGTGACTCGTACAACATGGAATTCATAAAACACGGAATTATCAACAATGTTATAAGGGGGTCTACTTGTATTACTTATTTTAAATGTTATGGTGATTTTATGAATGTTATTAATATTCTACAAGCCGACAATATATAACTATTTGCCGCTGTTTTTGGTATTGTGATTTCATTACAATGGATCTTAAAAAGAACCGTCGCTAAACGAGCAGTCGTAATTCGAACCCCGATTCCCCACCAGGCGAATTTTGGCGCTTTACCTGATGACGTAACTGTAAAATATCATTCGCATTCGTCTTGACAGAAATTACTATTTATTAATTCCGAACGATTGAAATTTCCTATTTCGACCATATTATTAGCGACGTCACTCATAATGTCATACAGGTCGGAGTGGTATTAAAAAAAAAAAAAATGGAATAATTGTTATTAAAAATTGTCATACGTGTTTACGAGACCGCATTGGAGAAAACGAGTTTGCTTCGAACGAGGTTACCGTGACGTCAACAGTCGAGCGCCAAAACTTCCCTAGGGATTCAATGTCGGAATAATTTGAATCATTGTGTGATGCATAATAAAAAAAATGTCACTTAAATATGACATTTAAATCATAATAGAAAATTCTTTATCAGTCTTAAAGCGAGATATGCTGTATTGTGACTACAACGAACTGAAATTTTATGTAATATATTGTATAACTATATAATAATAACTACTTGTTGGCTACTTAATAACAGTTTAAAGAATATTTACGTCATTACGCTTGTCATTATTAATGTTTCAAGTTAATTATATGTTTTAAAGCAAAAGACAAGCTAGACGTTGAAATTAAATTATAAAATTTCACTTTACATCAGTGTAATTCTCAAATTGAAATTTATATAACTGTTGTTAATGCATTCTTCGTAGTGTTTAAAACTGTCAAAAGCTTTCACAGTTAACTATAATTAATGATTTCGAAATGTTTTAGATTGTTCGCAACTATTGGCAGGGCTGAGAACTTGTATGGGAGCACGGGATAAAGCGTGCCCCTTTAGCCAATTTATTTATTTATTTTTTTTTTTGAACAAATGAAACATAAAATTCACCAATAAAGACAGTCTTAAAGACTATTTTTTTTTAAAATAAAAATAACTTTAATTTTGAAAGAGTGGGAGCCACCATAAAATTAGCAAGGGTAAAACCTTGAAGTCTTTCGGTTTCCTAACCACATTTCCTCTACTGTATCCGATCCGTCAATATTTTAATTTTTCCATACTTCTCCCAAGCGTCATATAGTGAAACCTACTAATGTATAACCTGTATAAGGTGACCATTTTGAGTGGTCCCTTCAGCGGTCACATTAGCAGGTTTCACAGTATCCTTACAAAGAAACAAAGAAATTTACTTTAAAAAACGATCTCTCAAACCTCTATAGGGTCGGGATCCTGTAGCCATAGCAACGTCTTCCTCCCCTTTTTCTGTCCCTGGATAAAAAATCTCCAGCATTCCTCTCGATGGTCATAACTATTTGATAAACAGACTTGCTAAGTTATTTTGTTAATAAATTTTTATATTTTAACTATAATAGACTAACATCCTATTAAAAATTGAATTACTATTATTGGGGAAGGTGGTGCAAGATGGGGCCATGGGGTAAGACGGGGACATCTGTTTATTCGTGGTTAACGAGCTTTCATCTAACTGTTATTTGGAGAACTAAATGTCAACCTCAAAGGGATTACGGGACGAGAGAACGTCCGAATCGCTCTCTTTGTTTGGAAGTAAGACAGTTTTCCACGTTTCGGCAATACTTCATCTAATTTTACGCCCGCCACAAAGTTTCTACAAAGTAAGCATTATTGCGAACTTTTACATTACCTTTTAGATGAAGATATTATAGTATTCGAAGTAACCTCTAAGACTGAAATTGTTTAGTTTTGAAATAAAGTTGACCCGTGTTTGCAGTCAGTATGAAAAGTGCGCGTTGGGGCAAGATGGTGGGGCATCCCTACCATCTTGCCCAAGGTTGGCCACGAATTCTGCCGCTGGCTAGAGGCACTGCAATATAGTGCAGCGAACTAGTTTTAAATTCGTTGTCATTGTTAATTCTATATCATTTTTCGAATATATAAAATAATAAGTTTAAAAATGAACTTTTTATAGAAAATGAAATATTCCATGTTTAAATCATATCTAACTGTAATAAATTTATACAGTATATACTGTATTACTTTATTATTTATGTTTTTACGGTTTATTTCATTTGTGAAAACATTTTTTTTTAATTTAAATACTATCTTAACAAGAAATAAAATGTCAGATAACAATCGAAATAAAAATTTTTTCCACGAAAAAAAATCGTCTGCTTACAAAATAGCGAAACTGCGCATGCGCGAAGCGACAGTATCGTCTGGTAAAGTAAATACGAGTAAGTTCAAACTTTTATATTTATTTATTCGGAAAATAATAATTAATGTAGCCGTTGTCATAAAATGGGCACATTGTTCTTGTGCCAATATTGAAGAAAACGACAGTTTAACCATTGTAATTTGTTTTTCTTGTATATAAAAATAATATTCCCGTCTTACCCCACGGGTGGGGCAAGATGGTGCATTTACGTATAATTTTAAAATATTAAATTTTCTTGTTTTTAAAAACGTTTTTCAAGAATTAAATTTTGTATTATATATTACCACATGTTGTAGTTGCTGAGAATAAAAAAAATTATTGTTCTCGTTAAAGTGGTTGCCATCTTATGACTTTTCAAACCTTAACGTCCTCATCTTGCCCCACCTTCCCCTACCCCTTTTAAATAGAAAATTAATTAATTATATCAGAAGTTATAAATTAAAATCCATATTTATATTCTGAGTAACTGTAAGGTTAACTGTTAGTTTAAAATAACAGAACCTTGTACAAGTTTAACGACCCAACATAAAAGCGATGTTACATAAAGATAAAAACTTGATAATCCGGGTTAGAAAACAGAATTTACTAGACTTTATAAGAAGTAAATTGCATCCTTCAAGGACATCGCCTACTTTCATTACTTTAAAACATCGGAACAGTTATCCGGATTTTATAATATTACTCATAACTTTCACTAGAAATATGTAAAACCTGATTCATAATTGATAAAATCGTAGTAATATTTTATTTAAGAATGAATAATCCAAAAATACCCAACGCCATATTTAAATAAAGTAATTATCATAACAAGTTCAAGAAGTTGGAAGTTTTTATAGAAGTATTTCCTGATATTGCTAACACATCTTACACAATTTAAGTGTTTAATATGGAGTTTATGGAATCGATTATAACCTATTTTTTGTTCTGAGAATAAATAATTCTAAGTAAAAAGAAAATTAAAGTTAGAAAATGAGAGTGAGGTCACAATATAGAGTAAACGTATTGTATTCAAGTTTTAGTAATAAGTAAATTATATTGTTTGATAATTTACATAGAAAAAAGCCAATTCTATGAAGATTTTAATTATAAGTGAAAGGAATTTATAAAAAATCAAATAATATAAATTTAGTCTAAGCGCTAGTAACGGCGGCCATTTTTTGTCAGGAAAGTGTTTTTTTTTTATGTTTCCGTCAGTGGCCGTTGTTTAGAGGTTTTACTACATAATTATTGTTTATTTTAATATATTTTAAATGTTATATCAATTTGTAAAGTTATCTCATTTTTATCGGTCGTAAAACGAGCGGTCGTAAAGCGAGGATAATGTATTTATAACGAAAATAATTGTTTTAAATATTGTTAATATTAGTCTTAATTTGTGATGCAAATTGTGAAATGAAAGCCTGTGAAATGTTTGCTTTTATATAAATTGAGCTAAATTTGTAATTTTCTTTTCATTTTTATTATATTTTCTATCTAATTGTATATTCGAGGAAAAAGTATGCAAAGTTAGAAACTCTATATTCTCGGAGGGGATTACTTTCTGAAAAACTGCCACGAATATAGAAACCGCGAATACGGAAAGGAAAATACATTGAAAATAATTAGAGAATTGAAGGCTAGAAGATTAAAAGATATATATAATTAGAAAACAAGAATGTATTTTTTATATAAAGAAATTTTCCTAATGCATTTCTAATCTCCGTTTTCCTCCCCCAATGTATCTTTTAGTAGAAAAGAAAATCTTAGAAATCTTCTCATTCACCACAAACAATAACAACTAAATTTCCTACCTGTAAATGATTTGGTACTTTAACTTTAACCTTGTCTACGAAGGACATAAGCTTTGGTTTATATAGGATATATATATTAATTGCTACTGGAATCCTTTTGTTTAGATGACATTACTGATTTGTAAGGAAAAAGGAAATGTGCACACTTAATTTACTATAACGTTTGTTATCTTGTTATAGTGCGCTTATTTGCGAATATACATTAAATTTATAAGCTTATTTATGTGAAATATTTTATATAAACAATCTATAAACGTATTTTCATGTGTAAATAATTTTTATTTGAAATGAGATCTACAACAAAGTAATAATTATTTACGTTAACTAATAATTAAGCGATGTATATTTTTATTATTCTAGCTACAAGTATTCTATGTAAATAAATTAAGGAGTAATTTAAAAGACTTTTTTTCTTAACTCTTTCTGCTCTGTTGGCACTAAGAGGATTTCTTTTAGCAAGCCCATTATGGATGCGGCCGGGCCTACAATGGGGCTGCTGGTGAGGGACGGGACCCCACACAGCCGGACGAATCCCCCCTAAAAATTCATGGTGATTTTTTCACCCGTCCGGATTCGAACCCGAATTCCCCAGAGCGGTAGGTTGCCTTGATTTCTAGGCCACCCGGCAGTCGATTTAAATTAAAAATATGATTAAAAATTGTAGCTTGGCATCGTGGTGATGCCACAATAAATAATTGTCTGTGCCCTATATTTTATATTTGCTTGATTAATTTTTTTTAAAAAGTCATAATATTAAGAACTTTAAAAATCTTTATGAAAAATATAAAGGTTTTTCACAAACTAAAATATATATTACAGAACTATTATTTTGTCATTCAAATCTAATTTTTATTGCTGCCATTTAACACAACGATTGGCATTTCTTAACAAATTTTTGGTTATACAGTAGAACCTCGATTATTCGCCCTAATTGGGGACTGGGGTTGGTCGGATAATTGAAAAATCGGATAACCGAAAAGTATGAAAAAATCCATTATTAGTGTAGTATATTATTATATCCCATGTAATTAGTATATTAGTATATCGCTATTAACCTATTTTGCGTTGAATTTTCATCGATGTTAAGCCTAACAAAAATTTTTTAAAATAATAATCGTCGCTATTGTAGCGCCACATCACTAGCGGACATTTGAAATTTGCCGACTAGGACGGTCGGTTAACCGAGGGGTCGGTTGATCGGGGGGCGGATAATCGAGGTTCTACTGTAGTTGAATCTTTAATATTATTTTCAAAGAAATCTGTTATGTAAACAATAAGAGCAATATATATATACATTAAAAATAAGAAAATAAGTTTCCAATTATCTTTATTTGCGGAAATATACGTTGAAAATTCCCATTGTAACAATAGTTAGAACCATACTTCTTTGATTAGAACCACAACGAATTTTTCATACTATTTTAATATAAGGAAAATAATATTAATTAATTTAGTAGAATAATCTTTTAAATATAATTATATACATTTTGTAAGACGTACAGTACAGTATATTTAGTCTACGTGTAACTAACGTTATGTACATGCAAATTAGTATACAGCAGCAAATATTACATGTATCTGTACTGTAGTATCTTATGTTGTACACTGTTTAGATGTTATTTTCTTCTATTATTTTATAGAATGAGAAAATAATGATTCTTAATTGAAAATGAAACTCTTATGTGCTGGATCCATACAAGGTCGGCCTTAAGCGGTGAGCTGCGCTTCAAGAAGCCACGCGTTAGGATTAACTTATAACTTCCGCGAAAAGAGGAAATTTTTCACTATAAACAGAAAATTGTTATTTTATATTGTAATAAACTACAAATTTTAAAGTTAGTAACATTGGAAACGGTGTAAATTTTCTTGCAGTTTACTTTTTAATTGTTATTTGTTTTAGTTATCTCAATCGAGTCCCGTATTTTCTATGCTTCCCTCTTAGCTATGTATCCATAAGCAATATTCTTCAGACTATATTATGTATTTGCTAAGTAGATAACAAATAAACTGTGCAGCAAAGTGCCCGATTTCGATTGAATGATCTTTCTTCTGACTCGTGGGCACTAAGAGGACTTTTTCATGATATCAGGTTAGGCCAGAATGAGTATCATTGGAGAAGATCAGATCATCCTGAAAGCTTACTGAATTCGATTGGAATTAGAATCCTACAGAGCGGAAGGCAGGCCATCGTTTATCTTTGAATATCAAGATTACAAAGCAATAAGGAGTTTTCAAATAATATAAAAACCATGTGGTACTTGTATTTTACAATGGATTCCTAAGAAGAAAATATGTCATCATTTAATCAATATTTAGTTAAGTTTCGTACTACAGATGTTGTGGACTATTGTGATATATCAACAGTTCGCAATATCTCTATAACAACTTGCAGGATGATAGCAAAAATATTTTGGTGATAAAAGACAGGGCATTATGTGAGTAAAGACAAGTTTAGTTTGTTATAAACAGAAATAAATTAACGTAAATTAAACACTAACAGAAAATAATAATTATGTAGGATGTAAAATGTCAAAGTGTACGTCTTTTTGTTTTTCGTTTTGGCTAGGTATTATTAAATATAAGTTTAGTAGGAAGGGCATCGAGCTGTAAAGATAAGTCTGTTGATAAATGATTAATAAATGAGCCATTTTTCGTAAAATTGTACAAAACATACGAGTAATAAAGCTTTTCCTTTATATTCTCAAAGTTTATTCTTGTATTAAATTGGATTTCGAATGAGGAAAAGGTAGATTCTCCCTTGTTACCGGTCTTTCCTCTTTCGATTATTATTTTAACAAATGAGAGAAGTATACAAGTGGA